AGCCACACACAGCGCACCCCGCTCCCGCCCCGCCCACACGCGGCCCCAGGCAACCCAGAGCCCCAAGCTGCTGCCAAGCTGCTGCGCCGCCGGCACGGTGGGCAAGCGCTGTCACACACAACGCGGTGGCACGGGGCAGGCGCCCAGACGCCCCTGGTCGACAGAAAGCCCAGGGACCCCATGCGCCAGGCAGGCAGGGTCGGCCCGCAGCGGCCCGCAGCTGCGCGCACCGTCCCCCTCGGCCACTGCTGAGGGCGCAGGCGCCGCCACGCGCACGCGCACGCGCGCAGACGCCAGTCACCCGTCTTGGACTCCAGGCTTCCAGTCACACCTCACCCGCCGCTGGCCCGCGCAGACGGGGCCCCCATTACCTGCGACCCCCAGAGTCAGGGCTGTGAGCAGCACACTGACCAGCCACTTGCGGGGAGGTCCTGCCATGGCCATGGCCGCTGCACCTGGTGGGGGGACGGGAGTCAGCTGCCTCGGGGAGCCAAGCCGACGCCCCCCTCCACGGGTTTCCCAGAGTGAGCAGGAGCACAAGGCGCCACTCGGAGGCCCAGGGCCCAGGGGTGCGGGCGGCCGACGTCCAGCAGCAGCAATTCCAGTGGGGCCAGGGCAGGTGCAGCTGAGAACAGATGGGACCTGGAGGCCTTGCCCCTCCCTGCCCCCTTCCCCAGGCCTCACCTGCGGTCCCCCAGGTAGGGGGTGGGGAGCCGAGTCCAGCTCCTCGCACTCCGCAGGCCTGCGCCTTCCTGCCGCGCCTCCGACTCTGGGCACCGGGCCTGAGTTATAACCACCCACCCACTATCCCGGGGCGAATTCCCAGGGAGTGAGCCATCCTGCCCCGGCCGCTGCAGTCACTCCTCCTGCCTCCCCCCACCTCCACCCCCAGAGCACCCCCACCCAGTGGGGCCACTCCCTGGCCCGGGGATGGGGAGGGGTCTCTGGAGGGCCGCCCGGCCCGGCTCTGGCCGTCAAGGCTCTCCAGCCCTGCGCCCCGGCTTCCCTGACTGTGCCCCTGGCTCTTGCCTCTCTCACCCCTCCTGAATTTCATTCCCCCCGGGCCTCTGCGCCAAGCCCTCGTCTGTTGCTGACACCCCTCCTCTGTCACTGGCCGACATGCCTGTGACTTTCTGTCCCTGTCTCCCGTGCCCTGTGCTTGGGGCTGGGAAGGCTCGGGCCACTTTGCCAAGTGCCAGCCGCCTGCCCTCACCTGGGCCCCCGCCTGGCTTGAAAGGGCAGGGATCCCGTCCGGGGGACGGCGCAGCCGCCTCGGCCTGCTGGATCGGCGAGGCGTGGGTGAGTGGGGCAGGGCTGCCGTGGATGGGGAAAGAGGCCACGAGGCCAGGCTGGGCGGGTGGCTCCTGCCTTCTGGGAAATGGGGCCCTGGGTGGGGAGCCCAGTCTTCGCCCCTGGGTGCCGGGTCAGCCGAGACTGCCTCCCCAGAGCTCTTCCCCGTCCATGCCCTGCGTCCGCCGCCGCCCTCGATCATCTCGTCTCCCCACAAAGGTGTGAGTCCCTGGTCCAGCACCTGTTTACCGCTGGCCGACCCAGATCCATCCGCAAACAAGACAGAAGGGCCCGGCGCCTGGAGGTGCTGCTTGCCGGGGGAGAAGCCTGGCCCGGCCGTCCACGGGAGGGCAGGTCAGCCGAACACACTCGCGCAGTGCAGTGACCACCCCGCACCTACTTTTTTATGGGTGGCTGAAGGTCAGTTTGCAGCCCCGATCCCCACGTGTGTGCTTGTGTTCTGCACAGCCCCAGGCCCCCTGGGTCCCATGAACAGACTCAAGTCGGTGTCTTCAAACGTCTCAAACCACGTTCCAAAGCCACCTGGACGTCGATCCAGGACCCTTCCAGGGGGCAGGAGGAGCGGCCAGGGCATTTCGGTGAATGCCTATGCCTGTGCAGCTCACACACGGGGAGCTCCACTTGGGCTCTTTCGCTCAGCCCGGTGCCGGGAGAGGTCACACGCCGGCGACGCGCGTCCAGTTGAAACCACGAGGCCGCCCCTGTCGAGGGACAGTCTCGGCGCACAGGCTGGTTCTGCTCCCCGGATGTTGCTCATCTGAAGAGCTGGGTCCTCGGGCCTCAGTGAGAGCAGGCTAAGCCTCCCGGGCCTCGGTTTCCGTCCTCGGCAGCCGGGTGTTTCCGCTCACAGCCTCTAGGAGGGACCTGCGTGGGCGCCGGTGGCCGGCAGCGGTGGCGGAGACGCGCTGGGAAGGACAGTGGGTTTGGGGGGACATCCCTAGACTGGGGGGGCCCTCGAGTGCCATGGCCCTATTTATGGCTCAGAACAGGGTTAGGCCAGGTGGCCGCAGGCCCCGGTGTGAACTGGTATTTCATACGCGCTACTCCCTCCCCTCCCGCCCGGTAAGATCTGGTTTCTTCGGATCCCTAAACGTGTTTTTCTCCAACTCTAAGCCCCTCGGGTCTGAGGCGCCGGCTCCTTCCCTCCCTTGGAGCTGGGTCCTCGCCCGCTCTGCCGCGCCCTGCTTCCCCGGGAGCCTCCAGCCCCTCCTGCCTGCCCGCTGCTCCCCGCCCCTGCATCCCAGGGAGCTCTTTCTGACGCTCGGGTCGGACCCTGTCCTTCCTCCGCCTGGCCCTCAGGGCCGAGGTCAGTCCAGCTGGATCGCAGCCCCCGCTCCCTCGCGCCCCGGCCTACATTCCCGCCACGTCACCCCAGCCGCCTGCATTCCGGATGATATGGCACCTCGGGGGTGCACCAGGCGCTCTCACGGCCTCAGGCCGTCCCCCAGGAGAACGCCACCCACCCGCCTGCCCGCCCGCCTGCCCTCCTGGTGGTGAGCCCACAGCCGGCGCCCTTCTCCAGCCCTCCCAGCGCGCCCAGCTCAGCCCTCAGCGTCACCCAGCCTCCCCTGGGCTCCCCTGGGGCCCACCCGGCTCCTGCTCACGTTGCCCGTGGCGCCCCACTGTCCACAGCACAGCCGGGCCGCTCCACATGCCGCCCGCGGCCCTTGGGGATGGCTCCCTGCGCCTGTGTCCCCCCCAACCAAGCGGCTCTCGCCTCCTGCTTTTGCTGCCAGGGAGACTGGGCAGAGGTACCCCCGCGCACTAGCAGGGCGGGGTCGGGATGGAGGGGGACAGATCAAAATGGGTTTGTGAAAGGGAACCGCAAATATCTGGGCCTCAGAGAGGAAGAAGCAGGCTCGCACGGGCCAGCCACGTGCGTCTGGGTCTTGCCAGCGGCCCCAGCCAAGTGAGGAATCGCCCGCCTGATTTTGAGGGTGAGAAACCCTAGGGATGGAGGGCGCGCTTCCCCAGGCGTGCCAGGCAGCGGGGCTCTGACCTGCCAGGCTGGTGAACACCAGGGTGGGGGGCTTGGGGGCCTCCCTAGGGCTCCGTGGCGGGGTGAGGCGATGGCAGCCCCTGCTCCCCAGCGCAAGGACGAGGCAGGCGTAAGGTCTGGAGCACGCGGCTTTATTGAGTGCGAGGGCTCGCGGGAGGGGGGGGGGCAGGGTCCCGGGTGGGAGGTGGCTTGCGGCCAGCGTCCGAGGCCGTGGCTCAGGAGGGGTGTCCGGCTCGGGTCAGTAGTTCTGGATGACTCTTTGGATCCAGGCGCCGTACCTGCAGACGTCCGTGTAGACGCCCGGCTTGTCCTTGGACCCACAGGGGATGTTGCCCCAGGACACAAGGCCCCGGAGGCGGTCGCCACACACCAGTGGGCCCCCAGAGTCGCCCTGCGGGAGACGGGGCGAGGGAAGTGGGGGGTGGAGAGGACAGCTCAGGAGTGGGTCCTCTGGCCCTGACCCCCTCCGTCTCCGCCCCCTCACCCCGGCGTTTATCCACTTCATCCGCAAGTGGGTGACGGTGGACGATGGTGGAGGAAACCCAAGGAAAAGGCGCTGGGCCGCGGTGGGCGCCCTCCCCTCTCCCAGCCAGGGATGGCGCCTCTGCCACGCGGCCGGTCTGCTGCCGCCAGGGCCGCCCGCCCCCGCCCCCCAGAGGTTGAACCGAGCGCACTCCCTCGCGCCCCCCGCTGCCGCCCTTGGCCAGGTAAGGGTGCCCTCACCTGGCAGGAGTCCTTCCCGGACTTCTCGTCCCCGGCGCACACCATGCTGGGGGTGATCTGGCCGGGGTAGGCGCGCTCACACTCCTCGCGGGGCACCAGGTGGATGTAGGCGCACTGCAGGGTGCTGGGGAAGCCGCCTGCGGGCCGGCGGGCGACGGCGGCTCACCAGGCGGCAGGCTCAGCCCCGGGGTCCCCCTTCCCGTTCGCCCTGGCTTCCCGCTGGCCCCCTTCTTCCTTTCCTGTTGGCTCCTCATTCTCGAGCCACGGCCACCGGCCCTGACTCCTGACTGGCCCCTCTTTGCACGGGTCTCCCCCTGCGCCCCCCAGTGTCAGGTCTCCCCCCAGCCCCCTGCCGTCAGGTCTCCCCCTCCCCACCGCCGTCAGGTCTGCCCCCCACCAGGTCTCCCCCACCCTGGGAGTCTTCCTCATTCACCCCTCTCTGCCTCTGCTGGTCTCTTCCAGGGGCCCCACCTTAGTCCTCCCGGGACCTCCAGACCTCTGCTTGTCCCCTCCCACCCCCTCAGACACTTGCTCCCGAGTTGAAGCCACTTGCCTATTGGCTTATTCCGATTGGTCACCACATAACCATTGGCTCTTGCCTAACTGGCCCGCCCATACCGCCCCCCTTTGGCTGCCCATTCCTATTGGCCCGCCATCCCTTGGCCCAAGTCCCCATTGGCCTTTACTAACTGGCCCAGCCCTCCCCCGTTGGTTGTCCCTTCCTATTGGCCCGCCATCCCTTGGCCCAC